CCCTCCCGGGTCGGCGGGGGCCTCTGCCGCGGGCTGGGGGATGCGGCCCTTCTTGGCCACCCCCTTCCAGCAGCGCTCTTGCCGCCTGCATCCCTGCCTGCATCTCGCAGCCCCTCGCTCCCGTCCCGTCCCGTTCTGCCGCGTCCCGCGCCGCAGCGCCCGGCGCTTGCTGGTGAGCACGGTACGCGCCGCGGCGGAGCGCGCCAGATGGGATTCGTCTTAATTTAAGGAAAATATAATTAGCGTCAGCAGACAAAATATTTTGAATCCAAATTACATTTGGCGCTGGGGCTCATTCGTCTTGCAGAGCGAATCAAAGCTGTTAGCGCTCGTCCCTCCCAGCAAACGAACTTCTAAAATGAAACGGGGGTGTCGGCTCCGCGGGAGGGGGGTGTCCCAGCGTTTGCCCTGTGTTTGCCCCGCGCAGGTGGTCCTTCGGCGTGCTGCTGTGGGAGATCTTCACGCTGGGCGGCTCGCCCTACCCCGGCGTGCCGGTCGAGGAGCTCTTCAAGCTGCTGAAGGAAGGTCACAGGATGGACAAACCCAGCAACTGCACCAACGAGCTGTGAGTGGGGTGCTGGGCCGGGGAAGGAGGGGGACGCCGGCACCCCAATGCCCCCCACCCGGCCGGGGACCGGCACCGCTTCGCCTCCCCGTGGGGTCACGGAATCACACAGAATCACAGAATGGTCAGGGTTGGAAGGGACCTTTGGAGATCATCTAGTCCAACCCCCCTGCCAGGGCAGGGTCACCTACAGCACGTTGCACAGGACAGCGTCCAGGCGGGTTTTGAATGTCTCCAGAGTGGGAGAGTGGGTCGAGAGCCTCCGGGTGCGACCGTCGAGCCCAGGGCACAGACAGATGTTCAGAGTCACTTTCCCGGCAGTTCCCAGCCCTGCAAAAGCATCAGCGCAACCCGTTTGCAATAATCAACATCTCCCTTCGTTATTTCTCGGCGGGAGCGAATCGGGGGGTGACCCCGTAGCAGGGACTAGCTTAGCTCCCCGTCCATCCTCCTCCCAAAACAGCTCCACGTCCTTCCCAGCGCCCGGGGCAGGGAGGGTGGGCAGGGGGTTCCCTTCCTTCCACCAGGGGATTCGCCCTAACTCCCCGGGACGGCGTCTTTGCTGGCCGCGGG